ACAACACGAGTTTCGTTTCATGTTCTTGTTTCAGAACTGTCGACAACACACGATATTATTCTCATATAATATACAATTACCGCATATATTATTTTTTTTTACAATAAAAACCGATTAAGCTCCATAATTTATAACATTCTATATATCTTCATCCGGATATTTTATTCAGAACCGGCGGTGCCACGTCAAATAAATCCATCCGTCCAGTGTCCCGCCTACATTGTCGCATTCCCGCCTAAACCGCCAGTCTAATATTATCCTGTTCCGTTGCATATCTCGTTATCAGTCTACCGAACAATATCATGTTTATATTTCGTTCTGTCTCGGCGGTTTTTTAATATTACCACATTCGCTCTACGTCGCGCGTGCTCCAGCCCTTAACCTCTCCCGTCGTTTACATTTTCTATTTATGAGAATATATCATATATTATATGTAGATTTTCCGTACAGGCGATATGTAGCCCTTTCTCATCCCTAAGTCCCTATTGAATACCGAGCCAAATGATTTATATTACTTGAGTTACTGTTCGGCCACATTTTTAGTTTTATGCTGTCTTTCTCTCTCGAGTTTCGCACGCATATAACGTAATATAGGTCATAGAATATTGGTCCAAGATATCTCGTGTGTAAATTGGATTTTGAATTCAAGATAACCATCACTATATTTATCGAGATGATTTGTTTCATTTCGTGTTTTTACTGTATGCTTCAATTAATTTTTATTTCTATAAACGCGAGGTTGTAATTACGAAGATTGTTGAATTAGCATAGAATCTAGGTGTACGGCATCCAGGAAGAACCCAGAATGGTTACATCTCGATTTTTTGATATTCATAAAACTTTGTTTAAAATTTTCAACTCCCAGTTTGAAACAAAATCAAGGATATGCTATAAATATAATAACTAAAAAATTAATGCATAATGAATCATAAAAATGCTTTAAGAATTGTCTTAACATTGCATATTTTTACTCAATTTACGTATTAATTTTATACGGTGTGCACATGATATCAAGTTTTAAAATGTCGACGATAATATTAATATTATAGGCGAAAATTCTGTTTTCCATTCTAAATTAATTCAAAATGGCTATGGAATTCGAGTTATTCAAGCAATTTTAGATTCTGTGTGTATCGAATAATGTAGTAGTTTTACTAAGATGTTTCGTTTTTGTCTTTTTTTATCCTGTGTACAAATATTCTATCAAAAATCTTGCTCAGATATATACACACTGCACGATTTCTAAAAGGGAATTTTATACAAATGGTACTTTTGGGAGGTCATTATTTTGATTTCATTGTTGGTTTTCATATTATCTTGGGAAAACCAAAATAAAACGTAAGAAAAACGGGAAATTTACGAAAATAATCCTTTTATGATTATTCGATTTTATTATTGGTTGTAATTCAGTCATAAATATTCGGTAGAGACTTGATATTGAAACAGAAAACTAATATTTGCCTTTTCTAAACGTGGTAAAATTTTCAAAAAATGTAAGCTATGAGTTTTGAGGTATTTATAAACATTTTAATTATGTGAGTTTTGCACGTAATATGTATTCAGTAGGTACTCTGTGGTAAAATTGTAAGTCTTAAACAGAAATGCTTGAAAATTGAACAGGAGGTTCATAAGAGTCTTATTTTGAAAAACGAAAAGTATAAAGTTTAATGTAGTATTATTTTTTATATGGAATTTTAATTTCAAATCTTGACAAAAAAATGATGCAGAACAAATTTAACTTTTCCTTTTTTTCTTTTTTTAAAACATATGTATAGTACTGATTTAAGAACGATGGTGAAATCAGAATTAAGCGGACTGACTAAGTTTCTAAATTATAGCTTTTTGAAGTTCTGATATTATGTGGATATCATATGTTATGATAGATAATTCTATATAGTTATTCTTAAAACATATTTGTTATCTAATAGTCATTTATTATCGTCATCTTAGGGTATCTGAGTTCAAACGATTGTGTTGAAAAAAAATTGTTTGCAATTTTTTTGTCTTTTATCTAAACAAGGAAAAACAAATGGTTTTCGGATGTACATGGAAACCTAAGCCATCGCTCCCTCGGACTATTTTAATCGCCAAAAACCCCTTGATTTGTTGTGCAAACTTTTCTACCCGAAATCTTGCTCCGATGCATCAAATGTAGCTTATTTTCCGAAAGAAAATTTATCTCTGTGGTAATTTAGGGATGCCATTTTTTGTTTTTTCAAGCAAGTTTCATATTATCTAGAAAAACCGGGAAAAATGTCGGAAAAACAAAAAATGTACGAAAGGTATGTATTAGTAAAAAAATATAACGATAAAAAACTGGGAAACAACATTGGGAAATTGGGAAAAACGGAAAAATCGGTACAATATTATACAAATATTATCAAAGAAAATCCATAATGCCTTTTTAATTAAATATTTTCCTTTAATATGATATATATATTGTTGACGAAGCATCACTATCAACTGAACTGTGCTTAGAATCGTTTTTTTTTTTGTTAGCAATGGTTTATCGTTGCTTACAAATATACATTGAATTACCTATAAGAGTGGCTGCATCCATCTCCATTATCCTAGGACGTCTTTTTAAGCATACATTTCAAAAAATGAGATACCTATGGTACTCTTTTTTCCAACTATAAAAAATCGTATAAACACAAGCACGGTGTCATTTCGGTAGAACGTAATCCTTTCTATAAAACATAATATCTTTTTAATGTAAACACAATACACAAATGTTTTCTTTTTTGTTTCCGGGGAGGGCCCTATTCCGATATCTTTTCTCGGTATCCGATATTGTATTAAAAACATGACCTTTTTTTTTTTTTTTTAGTTTATCGACAAAAAAATAACCTAACCTTTCGAGGAACAAAAAAGAAAAAATCTGTTTTTCGTCTTCCCTTTTTTGTACCTATACGATCAAATAATATGAAACAATATAGAATTATAAAGTAGCCAACGATAAAGCAAACCTGGTCGGAGAAAAACCGGACAGTTTTAACATTCAAACGGGAAATATTTTCGTATTTTTTTTAAGGGGTCAATAAATAATAGTATCAATACACACGTATCGGTCGGCAAGAATAATCAATAAATACAGCAATGGTCCCGTGGAAGGAAAAAAAGCTTAGCAAAATCTTGATAAAGTTATCGAGATTATTGATGATTGTAAAAAATTCCCCCTAGAAATCAATACTAGACCGAATTATTTACCATCCTCACGGTTGTTGACGATAATTTTAAAGTATACGATGATAATAATAGTTTATTAATAATTAATATTGGTCGTAGCTCCGATTGAATGATGTCGACGCCACGAATACGTTTATTTATTTTTCAGTAAATGGGAATCGTTTATGTTTATAATTTTAATTGTATGAATGAACCTTCCCACTGACTCATACAGTTTATCAAACAGTTGATTTTTACCTCACCTCTAGGCGTTATGATTGAAATGTTGTGAGTGGGTTTAGGTTGGTAAGGAGAATGTAAACATTAGGTATTCGGTAGACATTAATAAACAATATCAAAAAGTAGAATAATCGACTATCGAGCTGTATTGCATCTATATTTATGAAATAATACGCAGGTTTTTTTTTTTTTTACACGAGAACTATTGTCCATGGACCACCGAATTGATATCCAAATGTCAAATATCAAATATTAGACAATGATGTCTTGTGCAAACAAAATGCTGAATTTCGACCATAATTTTAAAAAATATAAGTACATCTTTAGGCAACAAATTGTTTTCCGTTTATTGGGTATAGGAAATTTGATGATAATATAAAGAAAACACTAGAAGGGGTGAAAACCGCGTGTCGGTCCAAAATTAATAAAAATACGAATATAAATTATTGTCACCCGTTCTTATTTGTGTTATACTGTGCGATACGTGTAATTTGATTTTCATCCTCCCCTTTTTTCGTTTTTGTTCCAGGGCATACAACTATCCCACGTGATGATACCGGGGAAGTGACGTCGGCGGATCAATGAGAAACACCAGCCGCGAAGTAAATATACTACTACGATCCGACAGGACCAGTGCTGCAGTCTACGCGAAAGATATTCAAATAGTATTCACATACATAAAATATATGAAAGAAAAAAAACGTGTGAAAAAAAAAAATTTTATGTAATACGTATTTTATGATAATATTATGTAATACAAATATAATACAATACAACATTATAAAACAACAATAGCCAACGTAAAGAAAAAAAAAAAACATATATACTATAATTTTAATAAAAATACCTAATAATTTATAATATATGATTTACAATAATATTAAGAATTAAAAATAATCATTGTATACCGAACAAAAAAAAAAAAAATAAAAAAAAAATTTGTGTTATTCATATTGAGGATTTGTATAATAATATTACGCCGATAATATGATAATAATATAGTGATTTTATTTATGTAAAAATTGAAATTTGATACCGAATAAATTGCGCTCGTGTCACATCATCAGCCACCGCAGCCACCGTCCCGAAATTCATAATAAATATTCCGATAATGGAATTTGTAACTCAATCTAAACAGGAGACGTGTTTACTCAAGTCTGACGCATAATTCGCAAAGCGTAATATGCTATATTTTATGCGGTAATATTATTGCGCGGAAAGTCTCTCGAAGAGGACCGAATCATTTATTTTTTTCCACTCCCCTTTGCATCTTATGTAAACGACGGCGATGTTCCGCGGCGTACTGCGGTATAATGAAAAAAATGCAAAATCATTATTCTCATCTTCTCCCCCTCCCCCTTTAATCTCTATCCGTCTCCGGGCTGTGGTGGATTACGTTTTAAAATCGCTAACCGTAAGCGCGTCGCTCGCGTGACCATTTCGATTTCGTCGTAATTAACAGAAATGAATAAAAACCGCCGTTGTCGTTCTTGATAAAAAAAAAAAAAAAAAGCAACTGACGGGACACGGTCTGTATCAGTAGCTACTGTACATAAGGGTTACGCGGTCTTGTTTCACGTTATTTGTGTCCAACACTATTAGGTGTTTCTCGAGTTCATATTTGTTTTCAACTTCTGAACACGAATAATTATATTTTGTTCTGAATATTTAACACCACCCTAGATCGAAACGAATTTATTTATATTTATTATTATTATGAATTATGAAGCATAGGCAGAACGTTAAATTTCTTAACGGAAAACACACATATCTACCTGAAAGAAACTCTTGAAACTGACCAAGTGATAAGCTACAATAAATTCACCTTTTCCCGTCCCTGTCTTCATCAGGCATCTAAATGGTTGTCGGTCTTTCGTATTTCACATTTGGTACTACAGTGCAGCCATAATCGAGCGAGTGAAAATTCGTGAACCGATTTACTATTGATATTTTGCAACGCAAATTTTTTTCCGGAAGATTTTTATTTCAATCAAAAAAAGTAGATAGATTTCTAACTGGGGTAATACGTGAAGTTTTCAATTCGATAATTTATTCAAGGTCCGTCAGAGTTTTTATGTTTTAAGCATCAAAAAAAAAAAACGTGTGTTTAAAACAATATTTTTGGTAAATTTTAAATTAAAATAATCTATGGACTTTTTTGTACTTTACGGGACACTTTTACTAAATATTTTTTTTTTTTTTTTGGAGGGGGAAATCCGTAATTACAATAATTTAATATTAATAAAATCACAAAAATATCGGGGTAATTGTTTTAGACAAAACTTCGTAACTGATAAAAAAAAACACGACCTTCAAATTTTGATTGCACCACTGTTCTTACCATCAAAACTACATAAGATTGAATGCTAATTAAGTCTTAAAAATCGGCGATCTTAAAGAATACCTAATCTATACGTATTTATAGAAATATTAATAATAACAAAAATCGTATAGGCATATACTATTATTATTATTATTATTAAACCGTCTAGGTATGTACAGATCAAGTAGCAAAATATGTGAATAAATAATTAAGTTTTAAATTCTTACATAATAACAATCGGTTTTGTTAGAATATGAAATATAAAAACAGAAAACTGTTCGGTAATGGCCACGATCTTATTTTATTTGTCGTGTTAATAGGAATTATCTACATCGTGATGGTACGATCAATATTATTGATAAGAATTTACGATCACTGATAGATACTAATATACCAACGTTATACGATTTTTACGGTATCAACGGACTCAATGGTGTCGGCGAGTTTATAACGTATAATTTATAATGTTATTTCCATGTCGAGAATTTAGTATCTAAAGTAATTTAACCGCCGATTTTTACCGAATTGCCCATTACAATATCATAATTTATTCTGTGACAAGACATCCATGCAATCATATATTCATACTATAATAAACAATCTATCTAATCCTTTAGCTTATATTTAAATAATATAAAGTAAAAACAACCATGGTGCCTACGAACCTACGTCAGTATAATGTAACGATGTAGTGCAGAAGGCCCGAACTCGGAGTGTACACTTTTAATTTTAATGTTCAATACGTATCCTTAATTTAATACCGAATACTAAAAACTTAAAACCCGAGAAATTCTTAGTTAAAACGAAATACGCTGTTCAACCAAAATCTACTGATTACCAAAATTGTATTCCAAAATCATTACCTAATTGACTATTATAATTTATAGGCCTTCAATAAAGATTTGTTTAAATACGTATTTTTTAAAACCGTTTGAAACAAAAAAAAAAAAAAAAATCACGTTTTAAACATGTAAAAACCATCTTTAAAAAAACGTATTTTTTTTCAATCCCGCTTACCGTTTAGTTTCGTGCTATGATAATCATTATATCTGTAAAATATTAGGAACCATCATGGCCCTGTTGACTTGTTTACCACGGTAATAATGGTAAAATGACAGAATCGTATACGACAATTAGTCGTTGTCGAGTAATATTCGAAATGTCCTATTCTTGAACCCGCACAACTAGCAACTGACAAAACATACGAAAAACCATGTGCCTTCAAAAAATACGGTTATAACCATATAATTTAGCGCATAATCGCATATACTAAAACGGCAGCAAAATAAAATATTATCAACTTTTTGTTTGTTTTTTACGCTTTCATTACTTGGATTTAATTCATCAGCTTATTTGTAAATTTAATATATTTATTTAACTATTGCAAATTTTGATATATTTTACTTAGGATAAACTTACAGTTTTGAAAATCAAAATAATTTTCAACCACATTCACCAGAGACTAGGAAAATACACGGAACAATAAGTGCTTTCGGTCTATTGACTCAGGTTTCAACAAAAGTATAAGTTTGATAATATGCTAATTCACATTTATATTAAAACTAACAGCACAGTTATTATCGCTGCTGTAGAACGTACATTTGCTACATAGTGCGTTTGTATAACCGAGACAACGCATGTGGGTATCACATCCTTTGGCATCGGACATAATCCGAAGTGTTCACTAGTTCGTTATTAAACGAATAAACGGCCAGTATACTTACTACAACTAAATTGTTTAAATGAGTTCAAAAAAAATCATAAACAGGTAAGAGTGAGCGTATACGATAATACCATACGACTGCGACACATAAACCGATTTCCATTGGCATGTTGAGTGAATTCAAGAATCGACCTTCAAAAAAAAAAAATAGAATATAACAGGTAATAATATAGGTACCTATAATGGTTATCGCGTGTCACCATGATAAAATATATAGATAGAAGTAATCACATTGATACGTTTTCGATACGATCTAGCACACTACGTCCACTGTACTTCTCCACCACGAGTTAAGTTACAGAACACGCAACGAGAGTATGTTATTAACAAACTATTGTTCCTGAAAGTTCTTCATCGAATAGACACAGAACGCTAAAAACTAATCAGTGGCGAAAATTTTAACTAATCCAGCAATGAATATTTATATTTGGCGGCATTTAAAATTGTTAAAATTTCCAGCGTTATAAATATCAATACTTTACTACTTAAAAAATGAACTAATTATTTTGGCTGCTAAATGCCATGCTAAATTATAAAACCTTAATCAGAAATTGCCAACGGTAGTGCTTTTTTCGGTGCTCACTAATACAATCATTTTTTCTTTACAACGCTGTCGGAATAAAATCATTATTTTTCGCGTTCCACCGTACTGTCGAAACGTGTAAGATTCACATTTGTATAATACGTCTTTACAAATATATGTTTATTTTTTTGTTCGCAATTGTAACGATCGTGTTATTACGACTTCGCCAAATGCAAATCCGGGGGTACCCCGTTCGACAAACGACAATGCACAAAACTACAAGCCAAATCGTATAACCCGCCATACAGTCGTTTTATGACGTACATGCAAATGTTTTAAGAGATCAAAAACAAAACCCACCGTAAAACGTCGAGCGTAAAACCACTAAACCGGCGGGCTCTCGGGGTCTCGGGGAAACGGGGGAGCTCGACACAGGCCGCGTTGTCCTATTGACGTCGCTCGCATACATTACATTTATAATATGATTCGAAAGTGTATTCGTACAACAGTAAAAAGAAAATCCGCGTGGCCGCTTCCCGGAACACTCCGATTTCGTACGTATTTCTATTATATTACATATATACATACGTATAATTTTTTTTTTTTTTTGTACTTTTCTAAGTGTTTTTCCAACCGCTATTTATTTCTCCGGTCTCTCCCCTACCTATCGCCGCCGCCACGCCGACGACGAATGCATTATTCAGCGCGCGGCATTTGTTCTGATTAGAGTAAAAGCTGCGCCGCGGTAACGAGAAAACCGCGGGGCCGCAGGTATACGATACGCGCGCTCGATTTATATCGTTACGCCTACGGTCGCACTTCGGACGGACACACCCGGCGACAAACAAAACGGCGCCGTGGCCCCGCACGATATTTGGCGCGGTCGACTCGTCTGCAGCGCGTCCACGCAATCCCCCGGCCCCGCCGCCGCTATGTCATCCATGCGTTCGGTTACGTGGCGACTGTACGCAGTGTTGTGTACGTCGAAACCGTCGCACGGTATGGTGGCCGCGCGGATGTCGGACACCCGCGGTGTACCGGAGTATTACGCGCATCGGGACCAACACGGAAATTGCCCGAAAAATACACTTTTGTCTATTATTTCGACCGTACCGGGGAAAAAAAAAACTGGACAATGTTTATTCCGGACGTTTTTTTTATTATTTAAAAATGTTTTAAAGTTAAAATCTGTAGAAACTATACGGTTTTTGTCGAATATGCCCCGAAAATACAGACTATTGCGCTGGATGTGTGCTATTTGTGGTTTTCGTAATATTTTTTTTTTTCTCACCCTCTACTTTTAATCACTTCTAGCGGCTCCTCCTGACCCAAAACCGCACAAACCCGGAAATTTAGTTGTTTTACAGGCAAATTAAAGTGACGAAAATCGGATTCAATTTCACTGTTTCATTGCGAAAGGAAGGTATATTTTTAAGTTTTGAACACCCCTACAGAACGCTCAAATGAAGCCAGAGTGAATACATTGTTTGTATGAATGCCATTAGTATCCAATTCTGTGATAGTAGTATACATTGTAGTATTTATTAAATTATTTATAACATACACTTTCTAGATTTTCATGAAATTTATGATAATAGTAGTTATACGAGAAAAAAAATTATGTAAATGCACATAGAGATGTCCCGCTGTCATCCATAACTTGACTATGAAAACATTCAAAAGACAAAGTCGTGGGACGTGTTAGTAGCTTTCGTAATTTAAATAACAGGATCATTATTCAAGAAATTCGATTCAACTGTCGGATTAACTAAAATTAAAAAAGTTTTGTAACCTGGTATACCAGGTACGTACTCAACAAACTCGAAAATTAACTTGCCTAGGAAGTCTTAAAGCATCAATTTTACCACTAAAATGACTTTGTATTCAAAAATATAAAGTCTTTCAGACAATCTCACCTTTCGGCACTTAGGCCTACAATATAAGCGAATGAAATGTAATCGTAGTGTTGTTGACGAGGGATTTTTAATAAACAACCGGCGAACCCTGTGAAACGTTTTTGTATGTAAATCTTCCTAATATCAGCGATAAGATAATATTGTGATCATAGAGCTGAGATATATTTATTTACAGATATAACGATAGAGTGTGATATACAGTGAGAATGGCATTTGAAGAAATTCAATCAAGGTATCGAAAGGATCAATGTGGCCATAAGGAAAGCAATAAAATGGATAAGGAAATTGGACGTGCGTTTATGAATTTAACAGCCTATATTATATCATAATAATTTTAGACTTGTGTTTCGTCGTTGAAATATTAGTATTTTTTGAATAGAAATTCAGAGTTGTGATTTAAATCATTTCATGTTCCTTCACTCTTCGGCCTCTTGACTGGGAACGTTACACTAGTGACAAACATAATAGTTTAAACTTTAAACTATTTATC